TTGGGTTTACTTGGAAGGATATAGAAATGTAAATTCGGGTTTCTTTCCTTCAGGAGAGAATCATTAACAAATTAGAATTTCACCATATCTACCCTGTTAAATAATTATACAGAATAGCATTTTCGCGGTAATAGTGTCGCCACCGAATAGATGCTTTGGATGTTAAGAAGGGAGCCCTCAGTGTGGTCTGGAGTGGTTTGTTGAAGACTTCAGAAGGGCTGAGCTTGAGCTGAACTTGGGAGCTTGGGTCTAAAGAGAAGTGGGAAGGTCATTTCACATGGGAAACCATAAAGGTGGGAAAAAACATGTAGAAGAGAGAACAGCCTGTAGCCTTGTACAACAAGTGTGACCCAGAGCAGTAGCCTTGAGCTCACGAGAGCGTGCTAGAGATGTGTGGGACCAGGTCTCCCCCAGGCTGTAGGATCAGACCCTGCTCAGTAACGTTTGGAAAGCACCGATAGATACCATTTGTATGGGGCTGTACAGTTTAGGGTTGGCTAAAGAAGCATCCTATTTGACCCTCAGAATAGGTTAATTAGATACAAATGAATTAGATAAAGAGGGGGACTACTAGTGTCCAGTCTCACTGAAAGAAAACGTGAAGTTTGGAGAGGTTTTGATTTGCTGAGAGTTTACTTAGAGCTGAGGTTCTAACTCAGGCATATAGATTTCGTATGCTTTTCACACCACGTGATGAGAAGTCACGTTTTGGGATTTAAGTAGGCTAGTACAGAAAGCTTGAATGTGGATTAGGTAGCAGTTGGGCCATACAATGGAGATCTGGAATGCTAGGACATTTATTACTTATCCACTAATACGTTTTGGCCAGAAGAGCTTCATGAGGAGCTTCTCAAGGAGACCTATCTGGCGGCATTACGTGGATGAATTAGAGTTGGGAAGAAACAGGACTCGAGACACCAGTTATTCAGAGCACAATAACTAAATATTTTAAATAAATAAATAAAATAAGTGGTATCGGTAAGTCACCTAACAAATAGTTACTGAATACCCAATTTGTGCTGGGCGCTGGGCATTTGGTCCTGCCGTCCATGATATGCTTGCTTAGGTCATGCTACTGGTTGAGTCAATTACGTAACGGAGTCCTAAGTGCAGAAAAGACTAACAGTAATGATAACAATAAAGTCATCTTTGAATGTTCCTGGTTTGTTTGTTTTTTCCTCTGAGGAGCTCTGGCCTCAAAGTTCTATGACTCCCATTCTCATCCTGGTTTCGCTATTAGTGTCATACGTGACCTTGAATGATTCACTTAATTGCTCTGTTGCCCATTTTTCCTACTTAAAACATCAGCGTCATACTTACCATGACTTCACAGCACAAGATATTGTGATGAGATCATTAATGGGGGACGTTTTTGGTTTCCGGAGTATTATAAAAGCTTATAATGCTGTTGATATAAATTCATTTTTTAAAACCTTCACTTTTTGCAACTTCAAAAATTTCAGTCCCCTGGTGCATGTTGGTCACTTTTCTAATTATAATGACATTGAAAGGGGGGGAAAAAGTGCAGCCATCTGGGGCACTTGTTCTTCCCTAGAGGTAGCGTTGGAGAAGATAATGGTCTGTTTGCGATGTGGTGGGCCCCATTCCGAAGGCACATGGATGGTGGTTTCTGATTGTGGCTTTAAGGCCCATCTGCTGATGGGTGCCATCATTAGACAAGAAGATGTGGGTGAATGTGTGCGCGGTTGTTGTGGAGTAATAGCAGAGACACGATCAAGAGAATATTTGGACTCTGGGGGAGAGAAGTAGGTGGCACCTTCTAGAGTTCTGAGCTGCATATGCCGGACCCTTCTGGTGTCATAAAGCCATGGCGCTGGGTGTGCGGTTGAGGTCCCTGGGTGTACGAGTGTGCGTTCAGGGGCGGGGTGGGCACTGGAAATGTTGTGAGGGGTGGGAGGAGGACAGAGATGAGAAGGTGAAAATGCTTATTGAGGCGACAGGTTGCTAGGGATAATACTGATGAACTAAGTTTCACTGGTCCCTTCCATGAATTAGGATATGTATCAGCACCAGCTCTTTGTATCTGAACTGCTTTCTTTTTTTCATTTTTAAATTTAAATTTTTAATTCCACTATAGTTCACATACAGTGTAATATTAGTTTCAGGTATACAGTATAGTGATTCAACACTTCCATATATCACCTGGTGCTCATCACAAGTGCCCT